TTTTTTTTTTTTTTTTCCTTCTTGCATAATGTACCGGTCAAATTCGGATGTACCGGCCGGTACACAAAATTTCTGCCGGTACACCAGATTTTGACCGAAACGATCGGACCGGATTTTGACCGAAACGACCGGATTTTGACCGAAACGAAATTTAACATTGTACCGTTTCGGTCAAGTGTCAAAACCGGTACGTACCGGCCGTACCGGCCGGTACGGTACGGGATTGACTTCTTTGCTTTCTACCCCTGTTGCTGCCGGAGAACAAAAATACTTTCAGAAGGTCATTTGCCTTCAATTCCATTTTTGCTACTGTCGATGGCGCGATTGCATCTGAAAATTCAAGGAACCGATGATTAGAAAGAGACCCAACAAAAAAGAGAGAGATTTTTTCGTTACCATCCTCGGTCCCTTCTCTTCGATGGAGATGATGAATTGCAGTGGAATCGGAGGATTCGGAGGAGTGGATGGAGATCGGAGGATTCGGAGGAGTGGATGGAGATGAGAGGCGATGGAGAAGGAATCGGAGAAGAGGCAAAGGCAAAAGAGGCAGAGGGGAGGGGCTGAGAGGCGATGGAGGTGATGGAGAAGGAATCAGAGAAGAGGCAAAGGCAAAGGCAAAGGGGAGGGGTTGAGAGGCGATGGAGAACAAATCGGAGTAGAGGCAAAGGCAAAAGGGGCAGGGGCAAAGGCAAAGGGGAGGGGCGGCAAAGGGGAGGGTTGAGAGGCGATGGAGAAAGAATCCGAGAAGAGGCAAAGGCAAAAGGGGCAAGGGCAAAGGCAAAGGAGAGGGGGCTGAGATTAATAAAACGGCATCGTTTGGGTTAGGACTCCAAATTTTTTTTGGGAGTCAGGACTGATGGCCACTTTCCCGTATATATAAGTATATATTAATTTTTTATTCTTAAAAAAATTAAAAACTTATTATAATATTGATATCTAAATTTAAAAATTAATTATATATTTTAATATAATCAGTTTTAAATTTTAAATATTAAAATTTAATAAAATAAAATTTAAAATTTAAAATTGAATTTTAATTAAATAAAATGATTAGGATTTTAATTTATTTTAGTAGTCAATATATACTTTATATATATTTATAATTTTTTTATTTTATAGTTTAAATTATACAAAACTATAAATAAAGAGTTATTAAATGAGGTAAAAAGACTTACTTTTTGTTCAATAACTTTTTTAGTATATCTAATTATAAGGTATATAAGAAGGGATAGTTTTCTTTTATTCTCAAATTTCTTTTCACTTAAATCAAAATTTAAATTTAAAATTTCTTAATTAAAGTCTCAACTTATTAACCATTAAATCATTGTTTTAAATTTTATTTAATAATTATAGATATGTATTTTAATAATATTGAGACTATGCAACATTTTTTCCTTATATTTAAATTTAATTAAATAACCTAAATTTTTTCCTTTTTTGTGTGTGAAAGAATAGCCTAAATTTAACAAAAGAAAAAAGATAAAATATTTTCCCCCTTAATTTCTCTTTTTACCCGAGGATAAAAAAAGGGTTTCTCATCTCCCTTCATATCTTTTTCATTCTGTCTGTTTCTTTCGATCCAAACACGGCGTAAATTTTGACATGCAGGGAGAATCTAATGGCAAATTTCCCTTGAAACAGTGATTTTGACCTGAACGCCGTCGTTTAAATCGAAGCAATTAACAGATTCCTATTGCTCCTTCCTTGCTTGCTAACGCAGTGGAAGTGGAAAGGTGGAACTGAACGCCTATTGCTATATTTATAGCTCCCTCGGTAGATACTGTCTCTGGGTAACATTTCAAGTTTACTGCTTTTCTTCTCAATTTCTTTGTTCAAGAATAAATTTCCATGCTTTTTTTCCTGTTCGATGTTTTGATTATGGCTATTGAGTCAATGCCCTCTATCTGTTTGATTTAATTTCTGTGAGAAATGGGCTTCTTTACTTTGCATTTTGATCATTTCTATACCGCGGCATTCCGTTCGTAGCCTTCTAGCACGCATCTTTAGTTGTTAGTCAAGTACCCATTTTCCTCTTCTTTTTTTTTTTTTACCCATTCAAGAAATCATATTTTATCCGTTGAGCTCACTGTGATATATGATAATTAGTTGAGTGATGTATAGTGGGGATAATTTTATTTGACACATTTTGGTTTTAAAGATCAAAGTAAAATTTTGTTGATCTAGAGATGTGGTTTTTTTTCTATCATGTTTTGTAGGAGGGAACCACAATAAAGCCTTAATGAGTGGTGCTTCCAGTAGCTTACGGGCAGCTTTCTCACACTGTGTGGAGCAAGTGCGAAGCTATGATTACCATCACTACCTCTGCCTCCTTGAACTGCCTCTAAATATGCGGAAGGCTGCATTTGCACTACGTGCCTTCAATGTTGAAACTGCAAGGGCTATGGATGTTGCTTCTGATCCCAGGATTGGTCTTATGCGGCTCATCTGGTGGCAAGAAGCCATAGACAAAATTTATGCCAACAAATTAATTCAGCATCCCACAGCACAGGCTCTTGCATCGGTGATATCTGAGAATAAAATTAGCAAGGCATGGATGAAAAGGTCTGTGGAAGCTCGGATCAATGATGCAAAGAGAGAAGAAACAGATATACCTGAAAGTATTGAGGAGTTGGAGAAATATGCTGAGGACACTATGTCAACCCTATTGTACATGACACTTCAAGCTGGTGGTATCAGGTCCACTGCTGCTGACCATGCAGCATCTCATGTTGGTAAGGCAAGTGGTCTTCTTTTACTACTCAAATCATTGCCTTACCATGCTAGCCGCAATCGCCATTTTTCTTACATACCAGCTAAAGTAGCAATGAAGCATAGGCTGTTGGTTAAGGAAGGAGGTCATTCAGAAATCCACTTGGATTCTCGTGAGGGCTTATGTGATGCAGTTTTTGAGATGGCATCAGTTGCCAATTCCCATTTGTTGAAGGCTCGTGAGTTAGCTAGCACTGTGCCTGTTGAGGCTCGTAAGGTGCTTCTGCCAGCTTTTCCAGCTCAAGTTATCTTGGACACTCTCAGTCGGGTACAGTTTGATGTGTTTGATTCAAGACTTGCCAGAGGGATTCTGGGCATTCCTCCATTGTGGTACCAATTGAAACTGAAGTGGAGTTCATGGAGAGGAAAATACTGAAAGTTTATCTTTGCCTTTTATCAGGTTAGAGGATAATTCTCCTTTAGGAAGAACTATGTTCCAGTTGTGGTTCCTTCAAAATAAGAGATTGTGTCCTCAGCAAAACTTCTTTTTTTTCTTTTGATCGGCCTCGGCAAAACATGTTCATAAACCCTTGAGTTACCCACTTACCATGGCTAACAGGTAGCTTTGTTGTATTCGATTTTTTTATAACTTATATCAAGGAACTTTGTTAAGTGATGTAGATGAATTCTTTAAGAATTTGAGCACGTCTATGATCGATGCTAGTGCATTTCATATGTTTAGAGGAAATACTTGGATAGCAAGTATTAGATAAATCATTTTTGTCTTTGACACGCGATGTTTCTTACAGGCCATAAACACGGCTTCTGTTAGCAAAAATATTGCATAAAAATCCAAAATTTTAACAACGCTAGAGGAAGGGCTTGAACTTTCGAACTTCTGGTTAACAGCCACACACTCTAACCGACTTAGCTACTCCAACCGATCGTTCTAGTTTAACTCCAGTTTTTTTATAGAAAGTCTACATGGAGAAATCATAGCCCAAAAAAGAAAAAAAGAAAAAAAAGGGGAAAAAACCACAACAACAATAACAAAACAACAAAACAAAACATTATCCTAACTTTTCCTCAAAGCAAAGTAATAATCAAATCATAGACGTGAATATGCCAATCAAGCAACCGAAGTACCAACCATGAATTAATCAATTAGCTTTTGATGGAACAGAGCCAAGCACCATCATTTGCATTGTATTGTTTTCTTTGAAAAAAATATCTTTTCGTTATTCATTAAAAAATTGGAAAGAAAGTAAACACACACATGCAGTCATCAATTAAATTCATTAATTATTAGTTTAATTTTAATTTTTAAAATAACTCTCAAAACTGCACTTGCGGCTCCCCTTGGCGTCTATGTCAAGGGTTCTAGCTGTCAGTGCTGCAGCAATATTATACTTACTCTCCTATTTCCCAATTTTCCACTTATCAAAAAAAAAAAATAAAAAAAACTCTCAAAACTAGTACCAGTAGGATTAAAAATGTTTGCCAGCTACACACGCACAAAATTAGTTGAAAAATGTGTAAAATTATATTATTTTACTTAATTTTATTAAAAAA